GGGTGAAAGGAAGCAAACCAGCTCTTAGACATGCTTCCATGTTTTAGATTTGAACTTTCTTCTTTTTTTTTTTTTTCTGTATTTCAAACCTTTGAAATCTTCAGTGGGGATAACACAGCAGCAGTTTCATCTGATAATGTCAAAAGGAGTCAAGATTTTTTTTTTAATGCAATCTTCAGACTGCAACTTTACGTTTTGATACTTAACAGTGCTGAAAGATAGCAAATACATATGGGGACAGGTTCAGCTAATGTTCTTCAGTACATCACCAACGCGTGTTCTGGAGAAACTGCTTCTCTCTTGCTTGAGTTTAAAAGGTAAAGAGGGGATTGAATTTAAAAACTCTTATCCTTTGCAGCTTGCCTGCCTAAGAAATGTCTGATCAATGCAGTTCAGATTGGTTTGATATTGATATTTTGTATTAAAGGACTGTAAAATATATTGTATGTTTTTGTGAATACTCTTGTACAAATACTCAAGGTTGTACCATATTTGAAGGTACCTGTACGTACTGTGCATGTTTCTAGATGACTAGAGAAGTTAAAGCAGAGTTGCACTTCTTTCTGGATGAGGCGTACTTTACTGACCTAACATTGACACAAGGTGGCTTTCCTGTTTTTACTCTCACGTACAGATCTTGTGGTTGGATTTAAGGGATCGGTGAAGGTTATTTATTTAATTGTAAATTCTTTTTTGAAAAATTGAGGTTTTTAATGTAAATAATCATCATATACTCTTGCTATGGAACTTAGTTGAACAGCTCATACTTAAACATTTTTCAAACATTTTATAGTATGCATACTTCTAACTAAGACATATTTAACTTTCATACAGTGTGGAAAGCTGGATGCAGAAGTCTGTTGCTTTGAGGTACTTATTTTTTCTAGCTGCTGTCCCTATGTAATAACTACCTGTAACAGTATTAATTTAGATATTAGCTTGTTTGTACTGTGCAATCTGAACAAAAATGCAACATTACTCATTTTATACAAAATAAACTAGTTTATTTTTTATAACATCACCTGATTACTGACATGGACCAAACTAGTCGTCATAAAATAGTTACAGCATCTGTTGCTTTTCTAGTGTAGTTACTAAATGCACATCCATTTTAACTTTGAAAATTAAGAATATTCACAATTAAGTTTAAAATAAATCGTGGTTTTATTTCTTTTGTAGATAAGATCAAGTGCTTTCAAATATTAAAATGTTGCTTTAGAATGGCTTAACTAAGCTGATACAACCAGTACAAGTGCAATAACTGCAAGTATTACTTGGAACGCTGGAGACTTTAGTGAGCACAGCCCAAATTTCCATTTAAGAGTTAAAGTAATATTGATGTTATAGGGAAGAGATCTGGTTCAAGAGTCCCAGCATTAAGCTTAGTCTGCATTGTAGCTACTGGTTACAGATAATGTCTATCATACTTACATACCTGTTTTGAACAAACATCAAAAATCCATTATTGTTTTAAGGGGATACTTAATACTTTTTTATGATAAAAAACCTGCTTAAACTATGTTAAAAGAAATAAAAACTGTGCTTCAAGTTAATATTTTTTCTGTGGTTCTGTGGTAATGATGTAAGCTAAGCCCATCCTGACCAGCTTTCTGCTGTTCAGGTTTTGGTCTCTACAAGTAAAATGATATATTAACTGATACACTAACATTAATATGAATATCTTATTACTGTGCTACTGTTGTTTAGCAGTTATCTTTTTAGTTGCGAAGTTTTGGGAGATTGTACTTCTTTAATAGTAGTTCTCTATGCAATCTTAATGGGCTAATTTTGTATTTCAATTTCACTGCTGTTACACCTGTAATTAAAAGACAAATGTATTCAACTTTACTTGGAAGTTACTCCTGTGGCAAATACCTAACTTCAAGCCATTGATAGTAAGTTACCAGAATTCAAGTATGTTGTCTCAGAGAAACAAAGCTCTGAAACTGCCAGTTGAAGCTTATTTTAGTTTGCCACACTCTACCACTATGGCGTGTTTAACAGCATCAAGGTAACAAGTTTCTAAGTTTAAAATGTTGTTGTTAGTGCATCTTTGAACTTACGTGCACCTATTGTTTTGTAAAGAGCCATGTAGCAATTTTAGTATTGGTATCTTGCTACTGTTGCTTAGACTATGTGAGCAGGCTGCCGCCTGCATTCCAGGGTGAAGCATCTTGGAGCAGATGGCCACACTGCAGCCTGTTGGTAGACACCACACCAGGGCAGCTGAAGGAAGCTGCAGCCCAGGGAGAGTCCATGCAGGAGCAGGTATTTGGGCAGCAGCTGCGGCCTATGGTGGACCAACACTGGAGCAGTCTGTTCCTGAAGAACTACCCCATCCAAAGGAGCTGTTCACAGGAGACTCCCATGTCCCATGGGAGGGACCCCATGCTGGAGCTTGTGAGTGTGAGGAGGACGGAGAAGCAATGAAACTAGCATGGACTGACCATGACCCAACTGCCCATCCCCGATCTCTCTGCACCATTGTGGAAGAGGAGGCAGAAGAGTGAAGCTGAGGTTGGGCTGGGTGTTTTCTTTGTTTGTTGCTGTCCTCCTTTATTTTTAATTGACAATAAATTAGATTTTCCCCCAAGGCCAGTACAGTTACAGTAACAGGTGACTAATCTCCCTGACTGAATCCATAAGCTTTTTCACCTTATGTTCTCCTGCTGGCCTGCTGAGGAGACAGCTTGGAAGTGCAGTTTGGTAGCACCTGGCAGCCAGTAAAGGTTAATCTACCACCATAGGTTTCATCTACAAATAAGCATCTACTGAAAAACTCCTGTGAAGACTGAGAATCCATGTTTTATCCACGCTCTATCTTTAGCACGGAAGTCGCACTTAGGCAACTTCACATTGTCTACTTACCCCGTTTCATGACAGGGTTACTCATCTTGCATGGCTCTTTAACCATTCCTCACTAAGACTGCGTATCAAGTTCTAAGATGGGTCATCCTGCAGCCTCCTTCCTGATTATTATCAAGAAAGAGATTAAGTAAACCTAGCCCTTAAGGGAAAAAAACAAAACCCAACAATGGATTAAACAGCATTCCCATGCAGGCAAACCTTTCAGCAGCTGTCCCCTGTGCTACAGCTGGCTCTGTATAGACTTGTTAGACCTTGTCTATTTGATTTTCCAGCAGGCTTGCAACCTAACCTCGATTGAACAGACTGGTCTTGCTAACACAGAACAGCTCCACTGAGCTCAGCAGTGTGTAAACTTGACTGTAATAGCTGAAGTTCTCCCAACACTTTCTTCAAACGCTTCTACTTGACAGGCAGTCTGAAGATATAGTGACGTGCTAATGCTGCATTCAATTGTATAACCGCAACATGTTCAGGTCTTTTTTGCAACCACATGCTTGAATTGATAAAATGCTTATTTCTGAAGCCCTTTTACCTCCAGATGCGTAATAGCGTACTCTGTATGTTAATACAGAACACAACAGATTCTCAAACCCATCAAACATCAGGGAAGAGCTCTGGCATTAGGGAAGAGTAGAGGAATTTAGAAAAGGCTATGCATGTAGACAGTTTTGGATGAACATAGGGGAATTCCAATCAACTAGCTGGTTACTGTCCCTAATAACAATAAAGACATTCTTTACTCCCATACCCTTCTATCTTCTATCCTTAGAACTACCAGCTGCTTGTTGTTTTTACGCTTCACACAGTATGTGACATGAACCACAGTACCAGGAGACTAATCGTGTAGTGAATAGGGAGGCAGATGGACACTGAAACAGAAAAATCTTCCATCCTGTTTTTCTGCCTTTGATAACCAATAAATTTGCTCTCAAGTATCAGTTCTGCAAAGAATACTTAGCTTTGCTACCAGCAACTGCTCCATACCACACCTAGTTTCAAGAACCACCTTCCTCTCCAGGCAATCAGCCAGTGTCCTCAGTTAAGGTCCTCTGACCTTTCTCAGATAATTTTTACATTCTTCAGTCATGCGTATTTCCATACAGCACTAACTCTTAGCTGTCTAACTCAAGCATCATTTAACAATATTTCTACCCAAAGCTTAAATTAAACATTAGTGGAATGTATAAAACTAAATCAAATATACCTTTAGTCCCACTGAAAATGAAGTACCATTCAATAAGTTTCACTTTTATTTATGGAGACAGAAATTTTCAACAAGCTCATCATTAAATTATTTAATAAGAGTTAAATCCTGAGTTAACAAAAGTTATTGCTTCACTGAAGTTTCAGAAATTGCTAACAGGCTGTCGTGGCATTTTATATTTTTGGCTTGCAGTATGATTCATTCACACAGCACTTTTTCTATTAAATCAGGTGCTAAACACCAAACTCACAACTGAGGAAGGCAGTAATTACCAGTGCAACTTTAGTTAACTAGCTGTGCATCAGTTACAGTACAGTACAAAACATTTGTTGAGATTCAAGACACAAGAGTCATGAACTACAACAAGAACAGGGATTGTAGTTACAAACTGGATACGATCGAGCGATGATTAACACACATGTTAAATGTAGGAAGACCCACTGGTTTTCAGATACTGAGACCAGTTCATTATGATTACAGTAATCAAACCTCTTAACCCTAGTCCATGAGTCAGTTGACAGTCTTTGTGAATGTACCTTGCAACAAATGAAACTGGTTCTTGTCACCATCATACACAACTACAGAACAGTTTGAAGGAAAATACCTGATCAGGGAGCTGCTGTCCACCAAACCTCACACAAATTAGTGTCACAATTTTCTTTCACGTGCACTGCAAGCTTCCCAGTAATAGCATGCTTTTACTCAAAATGATGCATGCATAAAATCGGCTTTGCGTGCGATTTGGCAATACTCGCGAGATTAACAAAATACTGATCTGAGTAATTTTTAGCACAGTATTGATGTCTCATATAGTTTGGAAAAAAGCATGAAGAAATTTATTCAGATACACAGAGTTCTTTGAATTTCAGAAACTAACATTAACTAAGACCTGGGAGTAAAAAAAACAACAACCTAACAAAAAGCAGACTCTAAATCAGTCACTTATAAAACCCATCCTGTGGAAATAATGCAAGAGCAAACCAAAGATACTAGACATCTTTTTAAAGATGACTCCTCTAGGTATTTTTTCTTACGGAAAGCAAGCCTTATTTTAAGAAACAGTTAAATGTATTAGCAAAGTGCAGTCCTGTCTGTTACTTTATCAAAAGTCTCTCCAGAGGAGATGATACCAAAAATTAGCCAATTGTAATAAGTTAGAAGGTAACTTGAAATTTAGAGTAAATTAACTATAAGACATCCATGTAAAGGCGCAGGGACTTAGCACTTACATACAAGAGAGCAAGTCCCATGCTTTTACGCTGATACTGAAAGATCCCAACAGGAACAAAACTGTAAGATGACAGTTAGGTCAAACTTACTCAAGTTTTAACACTGAAGAGACAGGCAAAAGTATAGGAACTACGTTTTTAACAGAAAGGTTAAAAATTATCTTATTTGAAAAAAATAATCTAGATAAATAACGACCACATTTCATCATAACACCGATTCTCCAGCATTGTGTATTTGCCAGGGACTGGAAATGCCATCCGTACGAGCATCATAACTTTCAGTGACTTCATCCAGTGACAAAAGTAATGCTTAGGACTTTGCCACCTCTGCCCCCACCCCATGTGGACAAACATCTTTTAGCTGAAGATGTTGCTTTAATGGGACGGATAGGATTGGCAGGTAACAGTACCCACATGTGCGTGAAGTATGGCATATTTTACATTAACATCAAAATAATTCCATGAGGTGCTTTCATTACAATTGCCACCATATTGTGCTAACATTACCTCCTCAATTGCAGTTTTCATTTTAAGAAAACAACTAGCCAAACTGCCATTTCAGTGGAAGAACCAAGGTGAGCTGTATTCACATTGACACAAAGTGTCACTATATCCCCAAGACAGCAGAAGTCTTCAAATAGTCAAACTGCCAAAGAAACACCATTTGTTGCCAAAGTGCTTTAAATTCTTGTGAAAGTCTCTGCCATCTTATTAGAAAGTATTTGCTGCAATAGCATTCTGCATCAGACAGATCACCCTATTAGCGCTGTGTTACTGTCAGCATTAAAAGACAAACAGGTCGTAAGTGCAGGACCAACCAGAAGGAAACGTCCAGTTTGGAAACCTCTCCAGTAAGGCATGGAGTTGAGGAGACTTTTGATCTTCCCCAAAAAAGTAATGTGCTGCTATGGCGAGGGAGACTATTCCATCAGAATGTTTTTCTGGGGCCTGAAAGTGAGAAAAGAACAACACAGTCCTTATGATTATTTATGGCTTTTAAACACAGGATCAATACAGATGTACTTTTCTACAGGCTTTGTATCTATGCAACACACTTTATCCTGCAGCTGTTTGTCTTGTTAAAGCACTCTGTCCTGTTAAAGCACTCATCTTCAAACATACCAGTCTGATTACAGAATGAGTTCAATTTGAACTGGACTTGCAGCTAGGTATTTCAGTAATACTGCCTCCGACATGTTATGTTTCTCCCACATCTACCTTCAATATTTGTAGCTATCGGTTTTGCTGACAAATCAAGACATGGACTCCAACACTGTCTATACACCGATACTTCTATTGTGAATCCTTAGGATGAAAAGCCTTCTCTGCCTAGCTTTGCTACTATCAAACTTGGATAGCTTGTCACACTGCAGATTCCTGTCTGCCTTTATCGAGTACCCTCAGAGTATTATTTGGTTAAGCATTTAGACTGCCTGCTCCAGGAAAGAACAAGGGACTTTCTGAATTTTCAAAGACTCCTGTCATATTTACTGAATGAATAGGACCTGTTAAACCTATAATAATCATACAGCACTGTGAAGAGGTCTTCACTGGAGGGCTGGGGGAGATGGGAGGACTAATCATAAGTGCCACTGGAACAGCAATGCTGGAAGCCTTGCTTCCAACTGAAAATAATGTAAAAGAAACTCCAAAACAAAGCTTTTAGAATGCTCCAGCTTCAAGACAGGTGGTTTTCCCACCAAGCATTCCCTGTAATTTCCCAAACCCAAGCAAACAAAGTACATGAAAAAGAAACTATCCACAATAGGAAAAATAACACTGAAATAACAGTAAGAGATAAAGAACTATGAGGTTGAGATCAGAAAAATCCAAACTTCCGACCTAAGGCCATGGAGACATGAACATATTTTCCCTTTAGCTGTTTGGCAAGTTAGTGGACTAAGCATCAAAAATATGTGTGAGCTGATACGTAAAGTTCAGGGACAAAGTAGATGAGGAAAGCTATAGAATTAGGATCTATCAAACACAGCTTAAGACATTTATTATGCCATTTTTCACCTAAGAATGAAGCAATGGTGATACCAGGGCAGAGCAGAGGCTCGTCGCTTCCCAGTAGCAGCATACTCACCGTCAGCTCCACCCAAAAGTGCCATGGTGTCGCCTGCAGCCCATGGGAGTAAAACACAAAGTAGTCTCCTCCTAAGCTAGCAACTGGCACACCGTCCCCGAAAGACCAGGTAGAGAGAGTTGAGCCTTCGTGTGGCCGAATATACAGAGACATGTGACTGGGACCTGCAGAGACAGGGGTATGTATCTAGATGTATCAACAGGTAGAGGCAGAATAACCATCTATTTTCCTACATAGTAGCATGTTACCTGTGTATTACTACTAGTGTCTCCCAAAATATGATAAAACTGTCTTCTCTACAGAAGAAGCTTAAATTATTTATAAGCAGTGAGATAAATCAGATATTCATATAGGAGAGGGACAGAGCTATAAACAACTAAGACTTACTGTAAAAAGATCAAGGGCTTACTCAAAATAGACAAGGTTATCAGTGCCCCCTGTAACAACTGCAACACAACACCCAGAGCTTCTAGTGTGTTACGAAACTGCATTAATTTGTGCTAATCTTACAAAGCTTGGGAATGGCACTAGAACCCGCAGTCTTGGATTCAAAGCCAGATTTATTACAGTCATGAAAAATAAAATCACAGACCAGAAACTTCAGTCTCTTACCAGATACTTCAAAGGTTAACTTTATGGAGTTCTGGGGCATCAGCTCCCTGGACAGAACTTTGAAGTGAACTGGGCTTCTCAGAATTATTTCTGGAGCAGGAAGGTACCAGTTTTTCCTGTGTTTAAAAGAAGAGTGTTAGGTTTTTGTATAATATAGGTGACTGTGCTGTTACTAAATGAAATATTCAAAAGCTACTGATGCTAGCAGAAGGCAGGTAAAATTAGCAGCTTGTAGCAGGCAGATATTGAAAAGGCACATTAATAGGAAAATAGTCACCAATGCATTTGTTCATTACTTCTGTATGCCTTAATTTACAGAACAAAAATAAAGAGGATTTACATCTTCAAACTGCTACATTTTGTTCACAAGATTCTTGGGCTATGAGAAATAGTCACAGCAGCTAGTTTTCCTGTGGAGATCAGCTATTCTAAACTTCCTCTGCAGTCAGCTGAGGTAAGGGGAGGAAGAAAGAAAGAGATACACACACGCCTACTCTGAACTGCCATTTAGAAGCTCCCCCTTCACCTTTCTTTCCACTTGCGCTGACACTGATTTTCCACACATTAACTTCTACAGCTCCTGCAGCACGCTAACAATCTTGCAAGAGATTCTGGCAGAAGACACTGCACCTAGACAGAAGTTTGTCTTCTGAGGTGGAATGATTATTTACTTTATACCAAGATTAGCCTTACTTTTTCTTCCCTTACATGAGTGAGACTGCATAAATGACCAATGTGCTTTGGCAGTAAGTGTTCAAGTGATGCAGTGTTCACACCAACCGGAACATGAAATGCACTGGTAGAATCCAAGGAAAGCCACAGAAAGGTGCCTGCTCCTCACATGGAGTTCTAATGGTGTCATTGATTTCAGGTACATGGGGAGTTATGTGAGACATTCCATTATAATCAAATCCATTAATCCATATACCAGAGTCACTTTTAACCACACTTCCATCTAGGTCATGAAATCTTCTGCTCATGTGCTAGAAGAAAAAAACAAAAAAAAACCCCAAAACAAAACCAGAAAGATGATGGTGCATGTGCAGTTCTCAAGTCAAAAGTGATTCTGAACTCTCTTCTGTGTCAATCCTAAGGTCTACTGCATTTTCAGTATGCACGAGACATGTATCTGAGTATTTATGATTATATAGAGATAATTACTCAGATGAAAGAAACATACCATAAGCCACCTACATTCAGATGACTGTGCCTGTAGGTATTTGCTCACCTTGATAAAGTTTGCTTTTTAAATTATCATTGCTTATTCAACTCTCCCACTTAAAAATCCCCTTTAAAGGCCCTGCTCTTCTGACATAAATAAACACAGAGACTGAACAACGAACACATTCACAACCGACAGAGGCAATACGATATGCAATGCTTTTCTTACCTGGAGAAACACACGCTTAGGCCTTGGATTAGCTGCATCAGAACTGTAAGGAAAGAAGATTCCACTACAAACGAGAATCAGAGTGACTACAAACACAGCAGTTAAAGTTACTAGCGTCGTTTTTGTGCTTTTGACAAGGTAAATGAAGTTAATCTAGAGAATAAAAAGACATCCAAGTTATAAAACTGCAAGACTTAAGAGATAAGACACTATTTCTGAAACTCTAAAATCCAATTACAGAACTGGAGCAACATTGACAAGATATTATTGCAAGTACTACCTGACACAAGACACTTCTTTGTAACCTTAGTATTGACAACCAAAAGGAATAAATTGAGTACTTCCCTGAGCTTTCAAAAGTTTCCTGGTTTTAACAACATCTGCCACCAAAAACATAGAACGTTTGTGGCAAGCACAGCATTAAAAAAAAAAAAAAGCTGAGATTTTTGTTTTAAGTATAGTGAATGTATTGTTCAGCCACATACTAAACTTCACATAAAATGAGTGCCTTAAATACGCATTAAATTGCATGTTTTACCACAATATTTACTATGTCATCACAGGGAAGAGGTATTTTTGCAACCCCTGCCTCAATGGCTTTTCTTTGAGTAACACAAAACGTGGGATCTTTGTCATATTTTCTGTAAGTTTCCTGTAACATTTAAGATATTGTCAAATTATCATTAACTTCAAATGCTAACTTAGAAAAACTAGATAAAATGTAAAAGTTTTGAACAACATTTACAAGTTCTACTTACAAAATAGGATGATAGAATCGTAGTCATGACCAGAATAAGTCCTGCCAGCACCACATCTGGTAGAATTTCTGACCCACTTCGTCCCATGATAGGTGTAAACATTTCAAACACAGTCCAACTTAGATACATCATGTACACATAGGGAACAAACATTCCGAGCATGTACATTGTGACAAACTTCATTGTGGCACCTATACGGTACAGGAAAAAGAAAAAAAAAAAGAAGACAAAGAACCCACCAAAGCTTAAAAGGACATAAACACACAGCTTTACTAATATACCCATCCATACACTGCTGCAAGGCCCAGTGCACAACACTGGTCATCCTCCCTGACACGGATATGGGAGGAGGATATCTTTTGGCATAGCCAGTACCAATGTAACTTTCAGAAACACCACGAAACTATTATTATATAAAACCAAACCAAACCAAATAAACAGGTGTTCTGTCCCAACCAGTATTTGAATATTACAGTATTTTCTAACAATCTTTACTGTCCCTCAAAGTATGCAATCACTTATTAATAACCCCACACAGAGTTGTTCTTTTTAGCCTGAGACAGAGGATGTTTTTCAGTGTATTTTTCAGAAAGAACTGTCTTTAGTTCAAGAACGCTTCTTGTTCCAAAAACGTCACAGGCTTTCTCTTACTCTTCAAGTTCAGGATTTCTTTTCCTTAAATACAAGCTCCTCCCCTCAAAACTCATACCTTTTTGGCTGAATTCTTTATGGATCATCAGCTTTGTAAGTAAAGGAAATGCTACCCATAATGTACAAATGAAAGCAGAACAAAGGCCCATCTGAGTAATCACAGCCAATGCTGTAGACCAAATCATCAGAGAGGCGTCAAAAAAAAGATCTCCCAGGTACTGTTCATTCATATTCTGTAACAAAAAAAAGCAAATACTTATTACTAAGCATAATCCGTGTATAACCTCTCATGAGAACACATACAAAAATCCTTGTATCTTGTATATCATAGAATCACAGAATGGTTTTGATTGGAAGGAACCTTAAAGATCATCTAGTTCCAACCCCCTGCCATGGGCAGGGACACCTTCCACTAGAGCAAGTTGCTCCAAGCCCTATCCAACCTGGCCTTGAACACTGCAAGGGATGGGGCAGCCACAGCTGCTGTGGGCAACCTGTGCCAGGGCCTCATCACCCTCACAGTGAAGATTTTTATCTGCACTCTGTCAGTTTAAAGCCATTTCCCCTTCCCCTGTCACTACATGCCCTTGTAAGTCCCTCTCCAGATTTCTTGTAGGCTCCTTTAGGTATTGGAAGGCTGCTCTAAGGTCGCCCCAGAGCCTTCTCTTCTCCAGGCTGAAGAACCCCACACACAACCCCCCAAAACAATGTAACCGTTTTCCTTGGATAAAGTAATTTTGACAAGCGCCACCTCACCATTCTCTGATCACCCAGAGTTACCCATGACAGCATGGGGTGTTTTTTAAAATCTATTCTGGCATACCTTGAAAAAGAGTACGGGCTAAGTAGGGGCGGGAGGGAACATACAACTGAAAATACCAAGAAGATGGAAAGCTGATGTTTCAGGTACACAAGAAATAGGGCCTTTAAAAAAAAAAAATTAGTATTTGTGAAGAATATAGAAAAGTTATGTAGTACTTATTTGTGAAAAATATCTCCTGAGATTCTAAACCTGATTTTGACTGTTCATAACGCTTTTTAGACAAGGACTGTTATTTAGTGCACAAATATGTATGTGGTGCCTTCGTATGTCATGCCACAGCTACCACTTCAGAAATCTGCTTCTGAAATGTATTATTTGTTTTGAAGAACAGACGTGCATGGATCAGATCATACCAGATACATTTTCAAAACAGAAGGAATTTTAACTGTCTGAAACCTGGTCTGGTTTTGTGGTGGTGTTTCTGGGTGGGTTTTTTTGTTGTTTTATTTTTTAAGTTTCAATGGAAATGCTGCAGTGTTTGCAGTGTCAGATTCTTGTATTATGAACTCTGCTGGCAGCAATGAGAACTGCCTGTATGGACAAGCTATCAGAAAGCATGTTGTTCAGTTTCGGGGTTGGGGGTGCGGGGAACATAACTAAAGCCAAACCTATTTCAAAACAAAAAGCTTATTAATTCACAAGTTCTTTAGCCTCTGACAGAAGGCATTGCTTGTGACAGCCAAGTAAGAGATTAGCTTCAGAATTTTTTTATGCAACTCTTAAGCATAATGTAAGTTAAAGAAGCAGCATATGTGCAGTGTACTGCAAGCTACAGCATGCAGGAAAATTAAAGAGACTCATGATATCAAGTTGGATGATCTGCTGATGAGACAATCAGCAGGCAAGAAGTAGATCCAGAGTCTGTAGCAACTGAACAGTTCGCAAAAGTTTACTCTCCCATCAGCTCTTCCGAAAGACTAGAAAATGGTACTATTCCATCTATTTCATAAATGGTTGAGCTTTTCTGCAAAAGGACACCACCACGTACATGTTTGTCAACCTACATACACAAGTTAACACTCCCCTTCCCAAACAATTAAAAAACCCCACTTCCAGATAAAGACATGATCTATCCACCTGGAAGCAACAATACAATCAAATTTCAGTAAGTGCTTAAAACTTCTTCAAATACTTCCATTAAGCTGTATTTGACTGACAGCTTTCCTCAGCTTCCTTGCCCAAAGCTTATACACGTGATCAAGAAGTAATGGGAAGCAGAATGACTAAATATTACTGTGCCTAAAACCTAAACCTAACATGCTCAAGTAGCTGACTTCTGCTCTGGAAGACGATCTTCTGTCAGGTACCCTCTTGTGTTGGGGCCCCAGAGCTGGAGGCAGTACTCCAAGTGGGGTCTTATGCCAGAGTAAACAGGCAGAATCACCTCCCTTGACCTGCTGGTCACAAACTAGAACACTGAAAAGTATCAAAAAAACTAAGTTCTCCAACTGTTGCTATGCTCTCTTATCACTGAAATGATGGCAGGAAGTGATGGTGCAGATAAGGAAAGAAACAGTGCCTTATAATGGATTATACTAGGCTTTTGCCATTTTTTCCTCAAGCAGCTCCTAAACATCATTAACAAGGAGAAAGCCTTAAATTATAAAGCCCTTAACTCTGTGATTCAGTAGCACAATCCCTATGCTTAGGTGAAGCAGTTACTATAGCAACATTTTAAATATTTCTGCCCAATACAGAAAACCTTTTGTATCTTTTTTAATCAACTCAAAGATTAAGTCTTCCACAGATTACACACTACATTACCTTTCAACTTTAGCAACAAAGTCAAGCCTACCTTGTAGAAAAGCTTCTTGGCTAGTGTATGCACAAGAATGAGATTAGCTGCAGCTGCAGTGCCGTACAGAAACACAGAAACATAGAAGTGGGTGTACCAAGAAAGAGACCGTCCAATGACAGAGACAAACACTGCCACTATAACGACTATCACCAGCGTGCAGATCCAACTTATCAGTGTTAAGCCAAATGCAGTAAAGAATTTCTTCAGGTTATGCATAGCTATGAAGAAGAAAAGAGAAGTTTCAACAGTTACATATTCTACTGCAGACCATCACCAAAACTCTAGTTACTCCACAGTAGAATTGCTTTAATGACAAAAATAAACCTGCATGAGGAGTTCACTCTGAAAATTTCTCAACAACAGTCTAAATCATTTAGCCTATTTCTTTGCAAGTCTTTTTGAAGTTTTCCTCACTGCAAATTTATTCCCAGACCAGCAGTGTATTATGTGGATTACCATGTTCCCAAATGTAAAAATTTCTCTGGGGAACCAGCTGATCCACTCTGACAGTTATAAAACCTCAAAAAAAAAATAATCTGAGTTTATTTTGTTGTAACTTTTTCTTACTCGAAAAATGTTTACTGGGTTTCGTGGGGAGGTGCTGGTGGTTGTGTTTCAGTTAAGATTTTTTTTTCTTTAGCACGTATGTTTCTACACATACCTGAAAAGGACTAACTAGAAGATTTCAGTTGTTTTACACCCTTTATTAAGCTTTGTTATCTTTTTCTCCAGTTGTTGTTTTCTCATTTGCTCCTGAAGAAATATGATTCTGAAGCCATCCATACCTGTGCTAACAGAATTTCTGTAGGTAATAATTTTTTTTTTCATTTTCAGAAAGACATTTTCATCTTCATGAAAGGGTAAGAGACATGATAATTTGTAAGTGATAAGACATCCTAGACTCATAATTATTCACAGCTGAGAAATGTAAACACAAAGCAACTCCTACGGCATGCTGCACACCTGAAATTGATTTCTGAAGTTTACGTGAACATTTCTTAATCAAATAATTGTTATTCATTAAAGAGTAATGTGATTGATTTTTATTTTTTCCCCCCCAGGAACTACACTTACCTCTGGTTTTGGGCTGTATTACTTTCTTGCTTAGATAAAAAAAAGCAATAACTGCTGTAATATAGTTCATGATAGTGCCAACACGAGCAGGATAAGCCAGGACAAATAAACCAAGTACATCAAAGAACACAACATTTCCGTGTCGATACTCAAAGGATTTAGCCAACTTATCTGATGTTGCTAGGTATTTCAGGACAGCTAGAATATTGTCACCTATTAAAAAAGCAGATACACAACATAACTATATCAGGGGTGACATATCAACACACACAATTTTTTTAATGCAAGCATTCTTGAAAAAAAGCACCCAGAACTGCACTGAAATAACCTCAAAGACAAGAGTATACAATTGGTTATTGTGATATAGGTATTCAGTGGTAGACACAGCATCGTATTTTCACAAGTTGACCTATACAGCTGTCAGGAAAACAAATATATTTGGGAAGCTCCAAGTATTTGAACATTGTTGCAATGAAAGGTGCAGGTAAGCTTTCAGCCCTTAAGTTACAGAATCATAGAATAGTTAGGGTTGGAAAGGACCTTAAGATCAAGTTCCAACCTCCCTGCTATGGGCAGGGACACCTCCCACTAAACTATGTCATCCAGGGCTCTGTCCAACCTGGCCCTGAACACTGTCAGAGATGGAGCATTCACAACTTCCCTGGGCAACCCATTTCCAGTGCCTCACCACCCCCACAGTAAAGAATTTCCTCCTTATATCCAATCTAAACTTCCCCTGCTTCAGTTTTAACCCATTACCCCTTGTCCTATCACTACAGTCCCTAATGAAGAGTCCCTTCCCAGCATCCTTATAGGCCACCTTCAGATACTGGAGGGTTGCTACGAGGTCTCTGCACAGCCTTTTCTTTTCCAGGCTGAACAGCCCTAACTTAGTCTATCTTCACACAAGAGGTGCTCCAGTTCCCTGATCATCCTCGTGGCCCTCCTCTGGAGTTGCTCCAACATCTCCATGTCCTTCTTATGTGGAGGACACCAGAACTGTACACAATGCACCAAGTGGGGTCTCACATGAACAGAGAGGCAGGATCATCTCTTTCAACCTGCTGGTCATACTCCTTTTCATGCAGCCCAGAATATGGTTGGCTTTCTTGAGATCTGATATTAAGCACTGGCTTCATGGTGAACCCACAGAGGAGTTCATAATTTCCTAATCTTCCTCCTCCTTGCCATTAGTAACCCCTCAAAGTTTCAGTGACAAGTACCTGCCCTGATTTCCCTAGATGACTGTAAGATAGGAGACAAGGAGTTTTCCTCTGTAGCAAATGAGGTATCAAACAACTTTTCTTTCCCCACAGTACAGCAAAACCACATATATTTAAATGAGAACAGCAGTGTTCCTTAACTTTCATTTTGCTTCTACTTGACCTGAAAAGTGCTTATTAGTTGAAATGTTTCTTTTTTTTTTTCTTCCCAGCTGTGATACATTAAGCAAGAGATATTACATGTAACCACCATGACCAGTAAAATCATCTTTCAGAGGAAATTTTAAAAAGTTACTGTCTGCCCTGCAACTTGCGCTTCAAGAAAGTGTTTAAAACTCTTACTCATGCTGGAGATCTAAGCTGACTTCTTTGGAAGCTCAAAGAGGGAAATGGTCAAAATACCAGAGGCACTTAGAATTACATTAGTTTTCCTGAGAAACTAGAGTTCTTGCCGTAGTTTTCTTTACTGCAGTATGTCAAATAGCCTGCTATGAGCATGACCTGTTAGTAGAAAATAAGTCCTGTTTATCAACAGTCCATGTGCTACATTTAAGTTTGACTGAGATCCATTCTAAAAAAAAACAAACCCCTGCTGGCAGATCAAGTCTCTATGCCTCCAACTTAACCATAAGCTTCCGATGATGAACATTAATAAATAAGGGTATATTTACTGAGAAGAAAGGAATGCAGACCACTGAACAATCAGGTATCAATAACTAGATTTTAACCTTAATTAGACTCCACAGTTACTCTCAAAGCAACATTACTGGGTGCTGAAAAAGTTTATCTTCCTAAGTTGGGCTAAGATATATCCTTTGTATTTTAAAGACACATATTCGGTTAATTCTTTGTTCTTTAGAACATGTCTAGCATGTGCTAAATGTGTAATTAAAACTATGAATTTCTTGCACTGGTAGTCCTACAGCAAAATGAAAAAGCAGCAAGTTTAGTAAATGACCAAATTCTTGAAATACCAACCTGCCCTCTGAATGGAATCTGTTAAAATTCTGTCTGATGTGTCATATTCTGTATGATAAATGTAGCCATTTTCAATAAAAGCCAGATCTATTCCTACAGAGACAGAAAAAGCATATTTGAAATTACATAACCTAAAACCTCAAAACAAACATGTGAAAGCCTCATATATACTTTGCACAAAATGTTGTGCTACTCTGTAGCCCACTCTCTATCCCTAAAGATAGACAAAATAGTCTGCAGAAGGTAGACTAATTGGGATTCTGTGTGTTTAAAAAAGTACACTTTAAAAGCATTTTAAAGTATGTCTTTTCTAATGTACTGTTTATCGATGTCATGCAAATTAAACTGATCTTTACTGAGAAACACAAACATTATTAATCATCTCAGCTTCAGGGAAGAGGAACAACGTGATTCCAAACATTTACTAGTAAAATATCATAGGGACACACTGAAAAGTAATAAAAAGCAGCACTGTGGAGCAATAGAAACACCTTCTCAAAATACCACATGTGTTATTTTTATTTCCCATTTGTAAGCAGATTTTCAAACAGCCAGTCTGAAAATTCTTAAATTAAATTACCAAAATAGGTTTTTTTGCAAAATTAATTATACATTCAGTGTATTCCAAACACATATCTCCTCAGCTGCATATGCAAAAAGTTGCTGTCTGCAATCTGAATCCTCACAACTTTGCAGAGGTTTAATAAATCAGACCTCAATTCTATCAGTGGACAAAGAAGAATAAAATAGTTCTTTAACTCAATTACTTAATTTGTATTTGTTTAAAAAAACACAGATGTCAGTGAGAATTCATTTACCATTTATGATGCAGGTACGATTCTGAAAAAAAAAAAACCCTCATTGTACAAAATCAGTTACTTTATTTTCAGGCTAAAAGCATACTTTGGAACAGTTCATGCCAACAGTTCATGCATATTCTTTGGAAAAGAATATGGCAACAAGTTTTGTTATAAGAATCATTTCAGAGATACCACTGACAACTGATATCAACAACCTGTGCCAGATAGCAAGGATTTACAGAAGTTTACATTCCCTTGAATTGTGTTTGCACTGTGTTCTCCATATTGTCTTCCACTGACTATTCTCTGCAGAATTGATAGCAAACTATAAACAGATTAGCAAAGCTAAAAAACTGCTGTCCTGTGCTTGATTATGAACAAATGAAAGTTATGAAAATGCACTCATTGCTAAGTCAGTATCTTTAAAAAAAGGTGGGTTTGGTTTATCCATTAGTACAAACATTTAACTCCCACAAACAGGTTATTGGCTTCATTATCAAAATGTTTACAAATAGAATGTTTGACAGAATACTGTTAATTCCGGGATTTTCGGGAAACTTTCTGGAAAACAACAATCTCCAAAAAAGATTCTTAACAGAATCTGCACAACGAAATAAATCTAAAGGCTCTTGCCCTAGAAAATAAGCTGGAAAATTTGCTCCCAGACTGAAAGACAAATCAAATTTGTGGACCTTCACACAGTGAACTGCAGAACAGCCTCCTTGTTATAAACTTAAAATAAATGATTGCACAATGCACATTGACATGTCTTCTGGTAACATACCTGGAATGTTGCCAAAGTCCCTGTAGATACGGAAGTCTGTATCTGCTGGGATAATACCACTCTGAAATACTTCCTGTGCTACCACAGAGGCAAAGGGATGTTTGGCTGCAACTACATATGCTTGCACCAACCAAGGATTCTCAGGTCCTAACAAAAGATGAGCAGAAAGTTCACACCAGGTATTTTTCAAACTTCTGTTAAGATATGTATCTTTATGGTAAGAGGTGTGTAATGCAAACAAACTCACTAATTTCAAAATGCTGCTGCCCCACAGGTAATATACTAAGTGAATATGTGTTGGCTGAATTACTCAAACTTGAGAGAAATAACTAGTTACACTGGGGGGGGAAAAAAAAGCAACAAACAACCCAACACTGATGCCTTGTCTCTGCAGTGGCAGAGTAGACCAGCCATTTCTCAAAAAAGACCCAGTATGAAGAAGTCACAATCTTTAGCAGAGTTTCCAGTTTACCATCTATGTATCATACCTCAAAACTGTTTAGAGAAAAGTCTCTGCACTAAAGCATTTCTGCAAGTAAACAGTTAAGCAGCTCCAGCAGTAGAAGAAAGTCTGCAGTCCAACTAGGATGGAGCAGAACTTAAATGTAGCCTGCAAGACACAGAAGTACTGCTGCATCCTGGGCAGCAGATGGACTTCTAATGCCAACATCTCCCTGCAAAAACTTTAAAGAACTGCTGTGAAAATTAAATAAAGCATATGAAAGCATGTGTACACAAGATATACAAGATATTCAAATCTCTTCTCCTTGTTACCTAGATGTGAAAGGGAAATACAATTTCTGTCATTCAGTTCTACATAGGCTTCCCACCTATTACACAACTTCTGTGGCAGTGCTTTAGCCTACACACATCTAAAGATGGAGAGCAACTTATTTGCTACACAGGGTTGGGAAAGAGGCACAGAGGTTCTCCCATCTTTTGCTTATGAGTCACTTTTAATACTCCTTCTACTCTATATTGTTTATTATCAAATTATCCCAGTGTAGAAAGTGAACACAACGCAAGCTCATACCTGTTTGAAAAACAAGTTCTCTTCCTCCTACACCTGCTGCCTCCAGGTTAATAAAAGCTCTAATTGACTTGGCCCACTCATGTTGTGTAATGAAGCCGTGACTAGCCTTGATGGGAAAACAAAATTAAAAAATATAGGTCAAATATCTTTCAGACCAGCCGAAGTGCTATTTTCTATCACGTACAATCATCACTCAAGATTGGAGAAGGCAGACAGGTCACTTACAACACAAATGCAGAAAATCCAAGTCCTCTAATTAGGCTAATATGGTCAATATTAATCTAAATACACTTTTCCCTTTGAAATCAAATGCATTTTCCTCAGAATGTTAAGACTGGCATTTAACTAATATTTCAACAGATTAAATACAAGCCATACCTGCAGTTACTCTTTCCTTTGTGAGAGTCTTAATACACAGCTTTCACGTATATTTTATAATTCCAGCATATTCTCACCTGCAAAATATTTTCTTCTGCACCATTGAATAAGAATATGACAGCATGTTGCAGGGGCTCTGATGATTTTGAAAGCGTATTAAGTATTTCAAGCATCACTGCGCAGCTAACAGCATCATCACTGGCACCTTAAAACAATGAACAGAATAATATGGATTACAACAAACAGAATTGCAACAAAGATAAGAGTACAAAAAAGCTTTATGCTTTCAAAGTGACTTAATCTGATGTACAGTTATGTCAAGCTTTAGTATATTTTCTGCTACTGCTTGTAACCTGTGTTTATACTAGTTAAAAGCAACAGCAGGGAGCAAAATGATGTTAGAAGTTGAGCAGATCTAGTACTACTGTTCAAGAAACGCAGACTAACCAGGTCACTAAGCAAGCAAAGTGATCACTGGCTATTTTTCTAAGAACAAGACGAATAAACAAGGGCACAGTTTTCACTTCCAGCATACTCAAGTTTTAAAAAAATAAACATTTAAAAAAAACCCCACAAGGCATCCCACTATAGCATCCAAGTGGACAAACCCTTAGAGCAATGTAAGGCCAAGACTGTGAAATAAAGCAAACACCTTTGCTTTGAATTCACATCTTTAAAACATTCTTAAAATGCAAGTATACATTATATAATTATTTTCACTATCAGATGCTTTCCACCATCCTTCTTTCTTTGCAGAAATCACCTTTTGCTCTGAGCTCAGCGGTCTAAGTTCCTCATGCAACACTTTTCTAGACTCACTCTCACTTCCCACATCCTGCCTTTTTTTTAATCTTAATTAAGCATCCATATTTTATCCAGGGTCTCCCTATTTCCCTTATTTTGCTGCAAGCAGTACCATCTCCCTATACCACTCTAATCCACAAAATCTGGGAGCAAACAGAGATATTTAACTTTATTCCTTTAGGCCCAGGTGCGCATATGATGCCAACATGCACTGAGATGTCAATGACAGTGTGGGCAGGCCGCAGCATGCTATTAGGGCAGACTTATTAGCTGCTAACTCTTTGATTTACTCTTTAAAAAAAGGAGCTTTTCCAAAGCCTGTAACTTGGCAAAATTCAGACATATCTGCCCCTTCCATGAAAAGGTCATGTTCCTGAAAAAAACACAAATCTTAGCCTTAGCTTATTGTATGGAGGTACTTTAGAATAAATATACAAACCCAAAATCTTTACTATTTTGCACGCATAAGCATCAGCAGCAGATTATGTTTTACTATCTGATTTTCAAATATACTGATCACTGACTCCTGCTGATTCGGGTTAAATAACTTTTTTTTTTTTTTTTAGTGAAAAAAACTGTAGGCAAATAGCTTACAGAAACACAGGAGAACAGAAAACAAAACATTCTTGCTTACGTTACGTGCACTAAGAAAATTAAAGACAAACCAGTTCCTCACTGTTGTGGTGAAGGGTGAGGCTGCTTTGTGATTAGGGGCAAGCATACAGGCTGATTTCTAGCTCCTCCATGAGTTTCTGTATAATCCTACAGAAAACACTAATATTCTTTGGCACCTCTGTGCAAGGTTGGTGAAGTATTTTACTGTTTGAGTAACTGTAAAGAAAGCAATTGATGTAGACATAATCCTGTGTTACAACCCACAGAAACAGACACACAATTTACACAGGGCATCAATTCAATGAGTTTCAATAATCATTGTATTATGGTTGTGCAATATTCTTTCTAATTCTAGGCATACTATTGGTTGACAGAAAAAAAGGCACAAAGAGTTTGTTTCTTTAGCTAACAACTGTTTTCTCAGTAACAAAGACTACCTGCATGTGCTAAAGAACAAATGGTTTACCTGTCAAAACAATGACATCATGTAAATGAAGAAACTTAGTGCTGTTGGTGACTGAACTTAACAGTAACAGGTACACACCTGTGGCTGAGTGTTGTAACGGGTATTTTCGTGTGGTGCTCAGTTCCCTACCTTCCTGGTACTCTTAAAACCATGTATCACACTCTTGTTGCAATCATTATATAACATGATCAGATTTAGAAAATGCAGAGGGACAAGTATAAGAGAGTTTGCAACAGGGAAAGTACTGGCAAGACGTAGACACCACCAAGGCAACAGAATCTTAATCTTTGATCACTAGTTTCTTGAGACAGAAGCTTTGAATGCAAAAAAAAAAAAAAAAAAGCATGACAGCTGCAAAGGGAGGGGCAAATACAGTCTGATAGTGAGGGTGGGAACAGTCTGTGGCATAAAGCATCCCATGAAAGAAAAACCAGGATTAAATCAGTACTCAGCTATGGAAATAAGAAAGACCTGAACAACAGGTGGAAGCAGCGCATGAACTACATGCATAAGCAGGGAATTATAAGAAAGGTAGGTATAACCAAACTTTCTATAAGTGTAAATATACTGCAAATCTGTAATTTGCTGCCTCCCATAAAGCGACAGTGAAATCCTCACCTTAACAGAACCAAGCTCTCACTCTAAATACTGAATCTCACTGATATCAAGCAGACTGACACAAGAAGTCTTCTAGCACGTGGTTTATAAGGCTACTTGACAGAAAAAGACAGGAAGCCAAGCTCTGTGGTTCATTTAATATAGAGAAATGCAGGATGAACATGTGGACCTACCTGGGCTATTTGGTACAGAATCAAAGTGACAATTGGATAACACTGCATGCTCAGCTCCATTTCGGGGTTCCAGTTTCACTACAACATTGGTTATGTTTGCATAGTAACTAGTAAAGCCTCCTAAAAAGTCAATGCTGAAGGAGCCTGTGGGCCTCTGTATGTTTACAGATATTTTGTGAGCACCTGTGCTCTCTCTTTCTATTGCCCTAATTTGTTCTAAGAGGTAGTTAACTGCAAGAACTTCATTTTCTGGACTTCCAACTGGTCTGGGCCCAATTGCTGTTATGTTGTCAAGATATCCCCTGGAAGAGACAAATTACACATTCAGCATCAACATACTCAACATTTAGTATGTGACTTAACTACAGCCATAACATTTTTGGACACAGTTCTATTTCAAAACTCACAGTATGGAAAAGACTAAAGACAACAACTAGCAATGGCAGTCAGGATGCTAAAGATCATTATGGCAATGGCCATACAGTACTGATCTTTAGTGAGGGCTCCTCATCCTGCCTATCATGATATTAAACCAAAAAAAAATGGTTTTCTGGTTTGTACATATCAACCTCAAAAGAAATAAAAGGGTGAAAGGAGAAGCTAAAGATTTTATCTTTAGCAAGGTTCTGCATACGCATACCTGCTCTTCCCTGGGTGTCTGAATAAGCACACTCTTAACAAGATTTACACCAGCTAAAAACCTGCAAAGAAGCTTTCCCAGACACCAGGTACATTATAACAGTACCAGAATTAAGCTGTGTAGTACGCATTGCTTGACGGGCCTAAAATAGCACCCTTAGGAGACGGCCAATACGACAGCTGGCACACTTGCAGTATTTTTACTTACTTCACACAAGCGCCCAACCTATGGTCACAGCCCGGCCCCCGCTGAGAGCCTCCCGCCGGCGCACAGCAAAAAGGCAGTCGCAGCCATCGCCGGTCGCCCTCGGGGTAACCCGGGCGGACTCTGCCCCGCAGTCGGCGTGGCACGGCGAAGCCGTCCGGCTCACCCGACACGCCCCCCCCCCCCCCCGTACCTGGCACGGGGGGCGCTGAAGTCGCGGGGCCCGGTGGCGGGCGGCTGGCTCAGCAGCCGCCGGTGCGAGACGTGCACCAGCGCCCTCAGCGCCAGCAGGTACAGCAGCACCAGCGACGCCCCCCGCGCCTCGGACAGCGCCAGCCGCCGCGGCCCTCCACGCTTCTTCCCGACCATGTCGCGGTCGCCGTCCTGCCGCGGTGGCGAGTGGCGGCGGTCGCGGTGGCCGCCGGTCGCACGGAGCCGCCACACGTTCGCCGCCACGCCGCGCTCCATGAGCCACGCGCTCAGTTACCGCTGCCGGCGCGAGCTCCGTCGGGCAGACAGGAGGTACGGACACCGACGAGGGTCAAAACCAGCCCCGGCTCCTCCTCGGCTGGGCACGGCGGGACGGGGGCAGGGATAAGGGGCGGAGCGCTGTCACCGCCTCCTTCCGCCGGTGGCTGGGGTATACTGGGCTCTGTGCGAGGGGCCCGGTGTGTCGGTGGTGGTCGCTCTTCGACTTTCGGGCCCGGGGAGCCCTCGGCGGCGGTTGTTGGTGGATGGTGCCCGCCCGGCAGCGGTGGAGCCCTCTGTCCTGCGGACAGCACCTGGGCGAGCAGCGGCCTGACCCTGCTCCTGACCCAGGGTCGCCCCAGTTTGCGGACAGCACACAAAGATGTAGGGCCCTTCGTGTTTCACGCATTTTGTTAAAGCTTTCTTTATTAACACTAAAGCACAAGGTAAAGCGTGTACAAGTAACTATGGTGACAGTGGGGAGCAGTAGGGAGCACCGCAACCACCACACCACAGGTGAAGGGTGGCGGAGACCCGCTGACTTGAAGTCAAGGCGCCAGCGGTGTGCGAGCGTTGCTGCTCTTTACACACACTGCATTTCGGCGTTTGGTAGCTGTAACACTGCCCTGGCTGGAGCCGAGGTAGCCCAGGGTGAAGTGCAGGAACGCCTGCTTGGACGTGCCGGTGAACAGCAGCCTCCAGTGAAGTCTTGACAAGGAGAACCCGCCAGGGTGGGGTTCTGAGCTGTGACACAAACCATCGCTCCTGCGGTACTCTACTTGCTGCTCCCTGCTGGAGCGTGCTTCTTCCCGCTCCTGTGGTGCCTTTGAGTGATGGGACAGAGCTATTTGATGATCATTTTTCCTATCTTTACCACGCTGCTTTCCTATCTTTACCTGGCTGCTCCTGAGTATATCCTAAAAGATGCTTGTTTCTTGTGCTCTGTAGCATAATCTGGAAACAAAATATGTGATGACATGATGCAGAGAAATGACTGTTTCAGTATACCCATTTTTACAGATACACACGGAAGGTTGCCTCTTCTTACCTCTCTGTTGCCACATGAAAGCTTCCTAACAGGAGTGCAATACTCCTTGGCCTGAAGCCCAAGCCTGAAGGAGTGGTGTGTGAAAATGTGATGACTATGCTGTCTGCACAGCTCAGGTGTTTTAGTAAATTTCCATATTCTGGCTTAGTGAGGTTTCTTGCTTAAAGTTTATGATTTACAACTCTGGATTGTGCTACTACACTTATTACAACTGCAGAAGAGTTTAATCCTCAATGGTCTTCTCCCTTTCATTCTTTGAGCAACATTTGAACATTAAAGACCCCTCAGTTAATGAGAAGAACTGACTACTGATTGTTTGTGACAGTCACACTCTACCAGTCAAAACCATTTTCAATATTCTGTCAATTCAATATTCAAAAGTAATTTTCTGCTCTAGATCAGAAGGATTTCTGATGTTTGGAATACTGACAGCACTTTTATCATCTGTTCTGTGCACTGCATTTGGGAGGGTGCTGCGTGATGTGGATTAAGCGGAAGAATAGTACATACACGTTTTGACATGACTGGAACATCTGAGTTAAATACATCAACAAATACAGTGCCCTTTATTGCTCTCTTAGTCTGGAATGACTGATTTAAAGTAATTGGATCTAATTTCCAAACAAATGATTCAGCATAGAACGGTTTGACTTTATGTGAAGAAGGCTGATTCTGAACCTAGTATCTTGCAATCCCCACTGCTAGTCTAATCCACTGTCATCTAACCATGGAGGGAAATCCCTTCTTCACTGAGCATGACTTATACTTGTAAACTAGGTTTTATGCAGAAAAAGAGAAAAACCAATTACCCATCTGCAGGGACTATGGGCCTGCTTTGTTTTCTAACTTTGTAGCAAAATCAAGTTAAATGGTAGCAGGATAACATTCTTGCTTAACAAATAAATACAGATGGGAATGTTTTCTAGGTTAAGGTCGCTATCAGCAATTTAGGGTAAGAGAATTAGAACACTGTCTTCAGAAAAGTATTTAGTTTTGATTAAAAATAAATGATGAAGCATCCATCAAATGATTGGCAAATTGTTCCCATGGTCATCTTTCTCGTTCAATGTGACTTATGTGTGGTACTCATTTCTTAGCTTCAATTTTCCATCCATTGGATCCTCTTATACCATTGACTGATGAATTGAAAATCTCTTTGTTACTGTCCACTGAAGTTACTAATACACCATGATGAAGACTTTTCTTACATTCATCTTCAATCTTGAGCTTCAGAAACTGTTACTTTTCCAGTCCTTTCATCCTTCTACTAACTGTTCTCTGGTGATATCCAGTTTTTTAGTAACTTCCCTGCATTGTTGAACCAAAACAAGTGGTATTCAAGCGCCCACACCAGTGCCAAACACAAAGGTCAAATAATCCCTACCCTGCAGGGAGGCAGAGCAGTTTGCTTGCTTTAACACAAGCCTGCTGCCACAGTTTTGAAGTGTCAGTTTTGTCCAGCTGTCTTGTAAATCTTTTTCTGTCACTACAGTGTGCTCCAGCCATCCACTTAGTGTCCCATAGCTTCTCTCACAGGCAGGATCTTCCAGACCAACTTTCTGGGAAACTAAATCTCAGCAGGAAGCAGGAAAGCCTGTGAGGAGGAGAAATCAGATTTTACATCCTAAGTTTCCAGGGCCTATTGTGTCAGACTTTCCTAGTGACACCTGTGGGTATGGAAAAATCTAGCTTCCCTGCACTGAAGTCTGTGTTGGATCATAAACTTACCAGTTACCTCACTCCTATAGCTATAGTGTTGTAACTGGAAGCTCATACTGAATCAATTTTTTACCCCATCTTCAAGGTTGGCTTTTGTCATTACTACTCACAATCCAGTCCCCATTCCTTTAGCTATGGCCTGCCTTTGATTCTGTATAATGCAAGCTTGAAAATGCTTGCCTTGCAGACTTGTTAAGCATTCAGTATTGCTGTGGACCAACAAGTGTTCTTCTTTGTTACCTGTAGCTGTCATAGTCTTAAAAATGAAACCAGGAAGAACACTGTAAGAACCCAGTGCAAGAATCCACCCTTGTAAAAAAAACACAGCAGTTTTGCATAGCCTGTGTTTATTTCAGGTATAAGCAGCTCTTCACTTTGAGAATGCTCCTACACAGGCACTCTTCATGCTGTCAAGGCAAGTTTGCATTTCTTCTTCTTGGTCGTTACTGTCTCACATCATCATGTAACTCCATAATACAGGACTCAGCCATGGATGGCACTGTGTGTGGTAGTCCAGTTTAAGAAAATGCCACAGACAATCTAATGAGCTTATCTCCCTTGATGTCTGTACTCTCAGCAGAATCCTTGGGAAAATCTTTCCCAGACATCAACCAGAGGACATTTAGGGCTTATTTAGCCAAGTATATCTGCCTAGTCGTCAAGCTACAAGGACAGAAAATACATCAGCACTCCAAGAACTGGGCATTTCCACCATTGTCTGATAATTAAAGCAGAATGATTAAATTCTGATCACTTATTTCAGAACTAGAAGTGGAAGAACACCCACAGGTTCTAGATTGATAGGGCACAGACAGACTGTTGTGTGCATCAGCACTGTAATTCACCATTTGTTCTGATAAGCTTAAGCAGTGCTTTTCCCTCTTCCTTGTGTAGCAGTACTCATTTTCTGTGCTCCTTCTCTTTCTTACCCTGTTATTTTGTAATGGGAGCTGTAATCACAACCAGTAATTATATGGAGAAAATTAATTGACTATTTCTTGTCAAAAACCAAAACTACTTTTCTTCAGATAGACATACACACCTGTCACAGCCAATTCAGTCTTCAGGAGCTTCAAGAGCATCCACCTCTTTCCTGTGGATTCTTTACTTTCTTCTCCATGCAGGCTCAGCATTCCCTTTGATTTTAAAGGGAGGTCAGGGTATGATGTTGCTCTGTAGAGAGGAGAGGGGAGTGATGTCTGTTGTGATTTCAGGACAGAGGGCTTTTTCTTCCTTTGTGCCCAGCCTGGAAAGGTTCAGTCAACCTTATACTAATTTGTTAAGCTGATAATAGGATAACTGGAATCCAGTCCAAATGTAAGCTATTTATTCTTCCTTTATATATTAAGTATCTCACCTTGCAGAGACTGACAACTCAGGCCAAACCATAAACACTTCATTTGTACCTCTTCTCCAGCCCTTCTGATGCCTGCCAGCTGTCACTCCAGCTACCCTATCTCCACAAAATATGAGCACAGTAATTACCTCCTTCATCAGCCTAACGAAGTTATGCAACCAAGTCACCTCCCTGGTTCTCCTTCTTTAATCACATCAAGATCAATCTAGTTTTTTTCCTTGAAGACCTCAAGTCTCTCCACACTTACCTACATTTCATACCTGGTTTGGTTTAGCATCATGTGTCAGCTGTTTTGGCAGTAACGTCAGCCTGTTTATATCTTCCATAATAGTTTCCCAGTCCTTTCTTGTGCTAACATCTCTCCTACACATGATCCTCACACAATTCGTGTTCAGGCTACCTATATTACATCAGCAATCATTTAACACCACAAACCAAAGATACAGTAATTTTGATTTAGACATGCTAATAAATATTCTCTTAGTTGAGAAATTTAATCTGGCAATGTTTTATCTTGCCTTACTATCTGTTTGTACAATGCTCTCGAAAAGCTTTGGAGTGTGTATGTGATAAAGAGTTGGTAGTTCCAGGTGGAGGGACAAGCATGATCATCACCAAGGACTGTTGAGTATAGGAGGCATGGTTTTGAAAGCTGTCTACCTTTTTGCCTGAGCACAGCTGACTGCTAGGGGACTTTGCCAGGCTCTGTGTTTTTATGGCAGTCTGGCCTTTTACGTTTGTGCAGTTATTTAATTATGAACTAAATTCCAGAGACTTGTTTCCCACATCTTATATATGCTGATGATGGCTTGACTTCGCGAACGAAGATTTGGGAAGGGCTTTACCCACGCTAACTACAAGCTCACTGATGACTAAAAAGGCCAA